AGAGACGGGGTTTCACCATGTTGACCAGGATGGTCTCGATCTCTTGACCTCATGATCCACCCGCCTCGGCCTCCCACAGTGCTGGGATTACAGGCTTGAGCCACCGCGCCTGGCCCTCTTCAACAGATTTTCAAAGCACCTGTGTCAAACCAAGGAAGAACAGCTTAAGCAATATTAGCTAAAATTTTTGGAGCAGTTAATGTGGGCCAGACCCTATGTTAACTGTGCTTATAATCATTATCCAATTTAGTATTCACAACAGTTTTCTCAGTTTATAGAACCGTATACCAAGACAAAGAATGTTTAGTAACTTGCCCCAAATCCCACAGCTAGTAAGAACTGGAATCAGGACTAAAACCCATATCTGACTCAGAGCCTGAGCTCTTACTTAGCATTTGTTTACACCAATGTTTCAGCTTTAAACAATTTTGGTCAATTTTTAGAGCATGGCCACTACTTTTCTTCCAGATTAAACTTGTAGATTGACCTGTAGCCTTCATAAATGGCTATATTGCCTATTCTGTCTGAATCCTTGCTGTACATACAGTTTGTGTATCTTTTTTCTGAAATGCTTGGGACCAGAAGTGTTTCTGATTTTAGATTTTTTCAGATTTGGGAATACTTGCATTATAAAGTTGACAAACCAAATCCGAAAATCCAAAATCCAAAATGCTCCAATGAGTATTTCTGCTGAGTGTCATGTTGGTGCTCAAAAAGTTTAGAATTTTGGACAATTTCAGATTTTCAGATTTGAAATGCTCAATTTAGAGTAAAATCATTGTCATATAAAAGAGATTTGTCTTTCATATTAGAATTTGGGATAATTTACATAAAGAATGAAAGTATTCTCTATTTTAAAACAAAACTTTTAACGTACAACAATTTCTAGCATTGCTCATTCTACCATAACTTATTTCTGTTTAGTTATTATTATTATTATTTTTTGAGATGGAGTCTTGCTTCATTACCCAGGCTATGCAGTGATGTGATCTTGGCTCCCTGTCACCTCTGCCTCCTGGGTTCAAGCAATTCTCATGCCTCAGCCTCCTGAGTAGCTGGGATTACAGGTGCCTGCCATCACACCCAGGTAATTTTTGTATTTTTAGTAAAGACAGGGTTTTACCATGTTGGTTAGGCTGATCTTGAACTCCCAGCCTCAAGTGATCTACCCGTCTTGGCCTCCCAAAGTGCTGGGATTACAGGCGTGAGCCACCGTGCCTGGCCTATTTCTTTTTCCGTTTTTTTTTTGAGATGGAGTCTTATTCTGTCGTCCAAGCTGGAGTGCAATAGCTCAATCTTGGCTCACTGCAACCTCTGCCTCCCTGTTCAAGTGATTGTCCTGCATCAATCTCCCAAGTAGCTAGGATTACAGGCATGTGCCACCACACCTGGCTAATTTTTCCATTTTTAGTAGAGACAGGGTTTCACCATGTTGGCAGACTGGTCTTGAACTCTTGACCTTGGGTGATCCACCCACCTTGGCCTCCCAAAGTGCTGGGATTACAGGTGTGAGCCACCAT